ACATTGATGTAGGCACAGCTGGCCCAGTCAGAGAAGACTCTGCTGGAATGCCCTATTGCCACAAATGAGCTTCCTGTTGTTTACTGCTCTCTGGTCCTTGTCAGGTAAGAGATTTACTGCCATCGCTTAAATCACTGCTCTTTCAAGTGATAGAATCTGGGAGTCTTTTCCTTGCCACATTTTAACGTCAGCATGAAATCAAATGACAGACACATCCCAAGTGATGTTAAAAGGGGGCACAACAGAGAAATCATTACTTATGGTATTCATGACTTTGTTATCTTCAGTTTCTGAAAAACAGCAAAGCAGTAAAGGCCTTCGAAAGGAAATTGTGATCATGCCACTAATGTAGTCTCAGTGATGGTGCTACTCACATGCATCGCAAAGACCACTAATGTAAGCAACATCCTTACCTCCTTTTACTAAGTTGTTTACTTAGTTGTTTAACTTGTTAAAATTAGTTGTCAGTTTACACGTGTCTGAGTTACTGATAAAAAAAGAAACCTTGAAGGGGTAAAGGCACTGAACTAAAATTTCAGTGCCAGATGTTTATGTGTGCGTGTGTACTTCAACACACACATACACACACATTAACATAAACCAATTTACCATAGTGTTACAAAAAATAGGTAGGCAGGTTAATAATGCTTGATTCACCCCTTTTAAAAATATATCCGATTTTCAAAGCTGTCGCCCTCCATTATTTAAAATGAATGTGATTAAATCTCCACAATGCATTAATTAACTAATTATTGATTCTTATAGCTGCTGCTATTGATCAGCTCTCAGATGTCACAGTAATGAAAGGGGGTCAAACTACACTGACATGTTCTCAAAAGGAAACCAGCCATACATATATGTATTGGTACAAGCAAGAGAAGAGGAAGGCTGCCCATTCACCGTTGCAGCTGGTGATTTTCACATATGAAGGTACTGGAGGAGACTCTGCCATCGAGAAACCCTTTAACAGCCGCTTCAAGACAACAGGGATGAAGAGTAATAGCTTGCCTCTGTCTCTGGAGGACGCCCAGGTGGAAGACACGGGCACCTACTACTGTGCCTCACAAGATTACACAGCCGAGCAAACGCTGAGGAAGCCGAGCAGAAACCTCTTCACAGGAAAACCTCTTGTGGCAGATCCTTCCCAATAGCTAACACAGGGGGGCAGCCATGTGCATTCATTATATTGCACAAACAGTATGGTATTTTGAATATCACTTTGCTCAATGCCACCCACACACTAAGATGAGCTAGGGAAGGCTTACTTATGATTGCACTGGTGGGTCTGAATTGCATTGTACTGTCTAGGAGTAGGGTCTTCTCAGTGGTGACACCCAATTATGCATGTCTTCTTTTAATTAACGGCTGATGACGTGATTCTACATCTAGGCATTTTCAGAGATGATAGATAGATAGAAAGATATGAATGAATGAATGAATGAATGAATGAATGAATGAATGAATGAATGAATGAATGAATGAATAAATAACCACAGACAAAAGTTCTATGCAACACCTCAAATCCAACCCCAACTGGTCAAAGATTGTCTGCTTCATTTTAAACCAATCTAGGAGATTCATATAATTGTTTGCATATGCCAGAATCCATACTCCAAATAAAAGAAGGCCAAGACAATTTTTTTAAAAGGAACGAACTATTGCTAATTAAAATGTGGTTTCTCTAAGAACATAAGAGCCTAAGCAGTGTCCTGCTGGATCGGACTCCAGGCCTCTCTAGCCCAGCAGTCTGTTTCTCACGGTGGCCAACCAGCTGCATGAGGAAGCCCGGTAGTCTCCCAGCAGAGGCAGTTAGGCTGCCATCAAGGCTAATAGCCATTGATCCCCATGAATTGCTCCAGCCCTTTATTGAAGCCAGCCAAGGTGGCAGCCAGCATTGTATCTCTAAAATTAACTATCCCATTTGCAAAATTAATTGATTCATTGGTATATACCAATCATTCTTTTTCTCACATTCAGAAACCTAAAAGTATGCATGTTTGTATGCACAAACACACACTCTCCTCCCCCTTTCTAGCAGAAGGCGAAACAAGAAGAATGGGAAAAAATAGGCTGGAAATGTGCTGGGAAGGGTAGGAAAGAAAAAAGGATTAACAAAACAGAGATGAGGCAAGGGGAGTAGATAATTGGGCAGGAAAAAAAAAGGAAAGACAAAGGAGCTCTCTTTAGGGTGAAAACATACGAGCAAGCAGGACCTGCCAAACAGCAGCATAACTTCAGCGTAATTTTCAATGCATTTAGGCTTTGCAACAGTGATCTTTGCAACCAGTTGCTAGTGCTGATTCTGTTGTTTTCAGTTTTTTATATTCTTATCAGTGAATATAAGATAACCCCACCCACCTTTCATAGATAACTGGGGGAGGCAGGGAACCAACATTAGTGTAGTTGCTTGACCGTTGCATTGTCTACACTGGTGGTTCTCCATCTCAAAATATATTTACTTCTCCTTAGATCCTGCATTTCAACATTCCCATTCATTGCAATGGGACTTGCATCTGAGAACTTTCTAGGACAGGGGTTCTCAAACTTTGCAATATTCTGATCCCCTAAAATGATAAATGAATTTGTGTACCCCTGTAAGTGAATAATTAAAATAACAAAAGAATACAAGTGCTGTGGCTGAAAGGTGGTGTTGACAGGCAGAGTCTCTTTTCAATGATTTGAAATGCTTCTTCCCAGGTTTCTTGTCACGGGGCTGAGTTACCATGTATGAGATAAGCTGCCTATAGGCTCTCCTTCTATCTCTTGACTGTTTGTGTCTATTCTATCCTCCATTAATTTCCCCTCCTCTGTGGGCCTCTTGTGTAACAGAATGGAATACAATGCATATCACACTACCCTTGTGACTGCAAGCCATGTGATTTCTCCTCCCAGGTATAAATATTATGAGCTGGTTTTCAGCTGTTTAGCGTAAGCGTCTAGCATCAGCCTTTGACTGTAAGCCTTTGTGCTAGAATGTCTAGAGTTGTTCTACCAGCCACAGAAGCACCCTGGCAGGACATTAAAAAGAGGCTTTAAACTCCTGTTCCTTTCCCAGAGCTGTTGATGAGTAGAACCACAACATGATAACCATAAGCAGAAATATTTCAGTGCAAGAAAGTCTTCCAGGAAGCATTTTTTCTTATTGACCTTCCACAATGTTTTTGTTACCAATGTTCCAACCCACTTTATCCCATTCTTTTTCTTTCCATTTTTCCTTCCTTCCACACACTACTTCACCAATTTTATTTGCTTGCTGCTACTTAAATGTCTATTATATTTTATTATGGGGATGGTGCAAATAGATTTTAAAACTTGTGATTTTACTTGTTGCCCTTCTATCTTGCCCTTCTACGTCAAAGGCTTACATTTCAGATTGGTTAAATACTTAAAGCAAGATATAAAACAGTATATGCCCATCCTATCTGGATTGCACAAAACAAGTGCCTCTGCTGGGAGATTAGTGGGCTTCCTTGTGCAGCCTATGAACTTTTAAATCTGCAGCACCTTAGGCCTACCATAACTGGGCTGCAAACTCTGGATGTCCACAAGGCAGCAGCAGCACGATATACAGTAGAAAATGTCTTTTCTCTTGTCACTTGAGGTTATGAGGAAGGTTATTAACTCTTGGAAGTTCCTAATGAAATCACATTCCCCCTCCCCCAAACCCTTCTAAAACCAGATCACAAATTGAGTTTTCTGGCATGGGTGTCTATACTAATCTTACTGCACAACCGTCAGCAGAGGTGGCATATTGGACAGACTGTTATGGAAAGAAGGGTTTACTATGGTAACCTGGACCCAGGCCTGTTTAAGCTTCAAGAGTTAAAGCCAGCATCTTGAACGGACCTCAGAATCAGTTTCAAAACGAGTGGAACCAACACAGAACCAGCACAATATGATCTGATCTGTTGGTTCCAAATAAACCACTTTTAAACTGCATTCTGGTCCATATGAATTTTAAAGACCATCCTAATGGAAGAGCAGGCGATTCTAATGCAAAGTGGAAGTGACAACAATACAAATTACCAAATTGATGTCTGATTTCTGCAGACAGTAGAAGTATCAGCTGGCCTACCAGATGACGTTGATCGAAGGCATGTGAAATACCACTGCTACCAAAGCAGTTAGGAGTTCGGGAGAAGAACTCCAATAAAGCCAGTAAGAGTTAATCTCCTGCCCACTACATTTTCTGGTGAAACATTATCTAGCAAAGCATAGCACATGTTAATGCTTTAGTGAGAAAGTTGCAACAGGTGGCAGCACTTAGCTGACCTTGTTGGGGGTCAGAAATCTAGGGAGGACTAGTTCTAGTTGGAATGCTACCTCAAATGCCCATTTGAGGATGGAGGTAGAGCTAACTTCCATCACCGTTAGAACACATCTTGCATTTATTTTGTTGTAAACTTTTTCCATCTAATACTTCTTCTATTACTCTGTTTTATCATTTCACTATTTTATTGTTTTATTGTTATTTTATTGTATTTTATGGCCTTGCTATGCTACGACCTGTGGTTCCAACAAGAAGCTGACTGACTCACTTACTTTCTAATTGGGATGGGAGATCAGCTGGGAATGCCAATCCTTGAGGTTAGACCAGGAAGTGGAAAAGCCATCCCAGGAGAAGAGGGTGGCAAACCACTTCCACACTGCTGTCCAGAAAGCTACAAGGACATGATCATGAAGTCACCAGTTCCACTTCATGGAGATTTCGAGAACCAAAATGGGCCACGTTACGACGTGGACACCTCTATTGGATGCTTTCATGGTCCTTTTCCAGCAGAGGGCAGTGCTGTTATGAATGAAGGTCATTGGAACCTGCTGCAGGTGCTTTGTTGAGGCTCAGAGATCTTGGTGGTGGGATGGTAAATGTGTGTGTATTTGTGTACTGATTTGGATCAAACATTTTCTTTATGTTAACTTTGCTCAGTTCAAATCAACCCCTCCGCTTGGTATTAATGAAGGAAAAGAAAAAATAAATGATGGTGCAATTTGAGTATTATCTAGGTGGCTAAATAACAGTCTCAAAGCAGGAAGAATTCAGATAGGGAAAGAGTGCAGATGGAAGAATCTAATCGTGGATGGCTGGTTCCTTGTGTAGTTGGTCCTGTTTTCTTTGATGAGATGTTCCTCCAGCCCCACTTCCACCTCAGCCACAGATCTTTACTAGGATTGCTGTCTGCCTCCTTCTCCATACAACTAGTAGAATGTGTAGTAGGGCTCTTGTTGGAGAAACAAGACAGGCAGCTGTGCTTGAGAGTAGAGAACACAGTTGCTTCCTTGCCATGATCTCCCTTTCAAGCTACAGAGCTGGTAGCTGTTCCATATGTCTCTTTTCTTTACTTCACTACAAAGGCATCCTTATGGGGCCCTTCAAGACGGCGGTGTTAAAGTGCTGTCTACCAGTCACTGAACTGGCAGAAAAGGATGCCGGCATAGTTGGGCTGCCCCCACTGGTGATCCATATTCTTCCACAGTAACAAGGCTGGCGAAGGGTGCCACCTTACAATACTGTAGGCCAAGTTAAAGAAGGGGATGGATGGATCCCCTTGGCTTTGTTTCCGCTCTACTTGCCCACGGAAAAGAACCACCAATGTAAGGGAAGGGCAGGTAGTTTTGGTAGTTTCAACTTTGTTTCCAAGCAGACAATGTTTGATCAATAATTCCCAGGATCTCTACTTCAAACATGTCAGATGTGGGCAATATGACTAAATCCAGGATCAGTGATTATGAAAAGGATTCTTAGCCCCAGAGCTCCCATTAAAAAGAACAGATTTATGTCAATCACTCTTACAGAATGTGAAAGCTTTAAGAAAGAAAGCAGAAAATGGTCATTGAACTATATATCTGAAGCAGAGAATAACTTCCAAAGTAACTTTGAAATAACAAGGGTCAGTTCCTCCCCCCACCCCCTCCAGTTTGGTAAAAAAAGAGGAGGAGACAAAGAACATTAGAAATTTCTGGAGATTCCTGATTGGTGGTGGTGAGGGATGTGTTGGCCTATAGTGGATCATTCAATCCTGGAGATCTACTGTTCTAGTCTCCTTATAGCTTCACCAAGATCTCTTGCTCACACAAGGAGGATTTGGATGTTAACTCTGCAATAGTCCAGCAAGGTAGGACAAGAATCATAAATAGGGCCAATCCATTATTGGGCTGGGAAAACTTGTTTGCAGTGTGATTTGCTCTTTCTAATTAATAGTGTGGAGAGTTTCTAGGTATAGATAAGTATGGGTGAGTGGTTGAGGCCTTGGATCGCATTCCTTCTATGTGGCGTCTCCCTGTGCGTTGATCCTGGGGTGCGCCTTGGTTTACTAAGCAGCTCCAGGTGATGAAATGCCAGAAGAGACACCTGGGGCACTGTTGGAGGAAGACTTGAAGCGATTCTGACTAGACACAGGTAAGGGCCCATATTAGGGATTACCTCATGGCAATAAGGGTGGTGAAATGCCAATATTTCTCCGCCCTTATTGCATCTGCTGATAGCTGTTCAGTAGGCATATTTAGGGTGACCTGTTCCCTTTTGGGTAGGAAGAGCCCCTTGGAACATCTGCTGGGCCATTGTGAAGATTATTAGGCTATCTGGTAGATAAAGTCACTCAGATTCACTCTGTCTTGGACTCTGACTGGGCAGAGCAGGCTGAGGTACCTGGGATATGGTCTGGTGGTGTGATCCGGGATGAGTTTGAGCTGGTGATTCCTGAGGAAGTGGTTAGGGCTCTCTCTGCTGTCAGCTCAGCCACCTGTTTACTGGATCCGGGTCCCTCCTGGGTTGTGAAAACAGCCAGGGAGATGACTTGTGGTTGGGTCCATGCAGTAGTATCGGCCTCTTTGATGGAGCTGGTGATACCCCCAGCCTTGAAAGAGGCAGTGGTGAGCCCCCTCCTCAAGAGGGTGTCCTTGGGCCCAACAGTTTTCGATAACTATCAACCAGGCTCTAACCTTCCCTTCTTGGGGAAGGTTGTTGAGAAGGTGGTCAGTCTGCAGCTGAGGAGAACCCTGGAGGAAACGGATTATCTAGACTCATTTCAGTCAGGCCAGGGTTAAATACTGAGACAGCTTTGGTCACACTTGCTGATGATCTGTGGCAGAGCTGGGATTATGGTGGTACATCTATCCTTGTGCTCCTTGATCTCTCAGTGGCTTTCGATACTGTCGAACATGGTATCCTTCTGAGCCAGCTCTGTGGGTTGGGTGAACAGTTTTACAGTGATTCTCTTCGTTTCTCTGGGGCCAGTTCCAGTCAGTGTTGGTTGGTAGGGAAAGATCGTCCCCTAGCCTCTCACTTGTGGGGTGCCACAGGGTTCTATTCTATCTCCCCTCCTTTTCAACATCTACGTGAAACTGCTGGGTGAGATTATCTGCCAGTTTGGAGTTTGGTATCACTGGTATGCTGATGATACCCAATTATAACTTTTGACTTGGGGCAAGCCAAGTGAGGCTGTTGAAATTCTGTCCCAGTGCCTGGAGGCTGTGTGGGTTGGATGGGGAGGAACAGCTGTCTCCACCTCAATCCTAACAAGACTGAGTGGCTGTGAGTGTTTGGACCACCCAGATCTGGGGATATTCCACCTTTAATCTTGGATGGGGTTGCACTTCCCCATTCAAGGACGGTGTGCAATTTGGAGTCTTCCTTGGACTCACAGCTGCTGCTCTGTGGCCAGCAGGTGGTAGCCATCTGGTGTGCCAGTGGTGCCCTTTCTTTGTTACTTCAGACAGTCATGGTCTTGGTCACCTCATGGTTTGACTACTGCAATGTGCTCTACATGGGGCTGCCCTAAAGACCACCTGGAAGTTTCAGCTGGTCCAGAATGCAGTGGCGCAGATGGTGATGGCAATGCCTTGATATGCCCATGCAATACCTCTGCTTCGCAAGCTGCACTGGTTGCCAGTTTGCTTCTGGGTGTGATTCAAAGTGCTGGTCGCTACCTATAAAGACCTACATAGCATAGGTCTTAGTTACTTGAGGCACCGCCTGTCTCCCCTAGTATCTGCCCAACTGGTTTGATCTGGCAGTGTTGGCACACTTTGGGTTCCATCAATTAAACAATGCCACCTATCGGGATCCCGGAAGTGCGCCTTCTCTGTAGCAGCGCCTGCCCTCTGGAATGAGGTTCTCTCCAAAATTCGAATGGCTCCCACCCGACTGGGATTTCGAAGAGCCTTAAAGACCAGCCTTTGGAGAGGATAACTGATGCCCCTTTCTTCCTTTCTGTTCCCCTCTGCCATCATTGTCCCTTTGTCATGTGCTGTTTTTATGTTTTCTGTATTGTTCTTTGTTTTTTTAAAAAAATGTTTTAACAATTGTAAACCACCTGGAGTTGCTGGGAATTGGGTGGCGCATAAATTTAATTTATTATTATGGTTGGCCGCATAGTCAGCCAGATGTTTAGACTGGATCTGGCATTTTTATCCACCTATCAAGTCCCTCCCAAGGACCTGGAGTAGGCAGATGTTGTTAGATGGTGTTAAAGGTATCACCGCAGGATGGAAGCTGTTCCAAGTAAAGCTGCCTTTTGCAATTGACTGATGGTGATTTTGTCAATGCTGAGGGTGTTCAAGTGGTGCTACAGATTATTGTTGTTGTTGTCATTATTATTATTATTAAGCAGGAATGAATGACTTCTTGATAACTGAGGCCACACTTTTTTTTTTTTAAATGAGGAAACATGGGGGAAAGATGTGGCCAAAGTTTTCAATACAATTTTGGATTAATTTGGATTTTTGTTTTATTTTGTGCCTTCAAGCCAGTCTTGATTCCTGGAGACCATAAGGGCAAATCCGTGCAGTTTTCTTGGGAATATTTTCAGAAGCAATTTGCCATTGCCTTCATCCAATGGCTGAGAATGACTGGCCCAAACTCAACCAGTTGGCTCTCATACGCAAAGTAGCACTAGAACTCAGGTCTCCCTGCTCCTAGCCCAGTGCCTTAACCACCAGACCAGTTCTGTTTATTTAAGAGGTGAGACTTAACACATCTCTTTGAACCTAATTTTGTAAAACCAAACACATACACATACAGACATTTGATTTATTACTAAATTTCAGCAGCAATAATGGGAGGCACTTGCATTAAAGAAGTAGAAAGAGGAGTGCATGTTTGTGTGTGCATCCTTATATTTCACTACTTTCTGATTTAACTAACACTTATCTACACCAAACGGATCCTGTCCCGGATGCCTGAGTCTTTATTTTCAGTGCAACAATTGCTTGTCACTCATTTCCTATCTCCTGCCCACGTGGCTTCCTATGTTCTCCTATTTTGTTGCTTTAATTGCTTGATGGATGTCAAAGGTGCTTTGGGGTCTGACTCAGGCAAGCAAACAACTTCCTTGGGGACCCAACATCTAGGTGAGTTACCATTTGCTTGTGGTGTTACTGTTTGCTTCAGGTAAGTGGCTAATCATTATAATGTAAATTAGAGTACTCTTCATTTTTTTTTCATGCCTGCTATTCATGTTTAAAAGGAAATGCTGGACTCACTTTCAATTTTTCATACGTGACTGGAGACATACTATATATAGTATGTCTTTTTTAAAAAAAGAGTGTCCGTGGTACTGAGTCCAGCAAAATGACAGAATCTAGCCAACCTTGGCTGATCTCAAAAACTACATAGATTCAAACCTGGTTACCATTATCAGTCCACCAGGACAACCAAGGTTAGGCTGGGATCTGAGACCACATCCCAGAACAAGGTAGAAGCAAAGTACTTATGTATTTATACCAAAAAAGCTACACAGAACATGATATCACCAGGAGTTGAGCTCACCTGAAGGGAATCTTTACTTTTACCTTTCAGGTGGTACATAAAAGACATTATTCCTTATGGAGCACTTCCAAATCTTTTTCAACTTCTTTCTTGACCCAAAAAAATCATATGAAAACTCTATGATGAGCCATTATCACTTAATCTAACCTATCAGACATGGTTACTGGGTGGATACAATGGGGAAAGAACATATACCAACTTTCCACAACCTGATGTCTCCCAGCTATGTTGGACTTCAACAAGACCAGTGTCCAAGATATATCCTGGATAGAAATGAAATTAAATGAATGAATAAACCATTGCTAATATCCTACTAGCCTTTTCCGATTTAGTACACTCCAAATTCCATCCTCTCCAGCCAGCCATAGTCACCGGTCATACTTGACAGTGATCATGGGAAGCGAGACCAAAAGTTGTGTACCCTTGCTTCATGCCATCAATACTGCAATGCTTAGCAGATCTCCTTATCTCAGGAATTTCTCCTGTGTCCAAGGACACTGAAGATGTTCCCTTTTTTGTTCAGATTCATTTGAATAATTCTTACTTCCCCCCCTTTTTTTTGTCCATCATCTTAGGAACTGCTCTTGAACAACCTAAAGACTCAGTAGTCACAGAAGGGGAATCACTTACCCTGAGCTGTTCCCAAAGTAAAACCACTTATGCTTTCATGTACTGGTACAAGCAAGAGAGGAAGAAAGATATATGGCTTCAGCTGGTGGCTTTTACAACTGAAGGTTCTGGAGGAGACTCTGCCATCGAGAAGCCCTTTAACAGCCGCTTCAAGACAACAGGGATGAAGAGTTATAGCTTGCCTCTGTCTCTGGAGGACGCCCAGGTGGAAGACACAGGCATCTACTACTGTGCTTCACAAGATTACACAGCCAAGCAAATGCTGAGGAAGCCAAGCAGAAACCTCTTCCTGGAGGAGTGCAAGGTTATGAGATGCTACAAGGCAATTGCCCAAACTATTTTGGTGCCTGAGTCATCAATTATAGAGGCACCTCTCTATGGGCTTTTCCTCTGAGAGCCAGTTTGATGTAGTGCTGAAAAGCACCAGGCCAGAAAACAGGAGACTCAGAGTTCTAGTCCTGTCTTGGTCACAAAATCAGTTGGGTGACTTTGGCCAGTTGCTCTCTCTTGGCCCTAGGAGGAAGGCCGTGGCCAACCATTCCAAAAATCTTGCTAAGAAAACTTCAGGGACTTGCCCAGCAGTTGCCAGGAATCAAGACCTACTCAAAGCACCCCCCAAAAGTAAAAATGCCATCTGTTCCACTCAGCAGAAAGCTATACCAGCATGATATTTGCAGATTCCTATCCTGCTTCCATATTTATCCACATCTCTTCTTTAAGTCAGCATAGTGTACTGGTTAAGGTGTTGGCCTTGGACAGGGAAGATCCAAGTTCAAGTCCCGATATCACCACATAATTCACTGGTGGCTTTGGGCTTCAGGTACATTCTTCTCAGGCTGAGAAGAGCAATTTTATCCCACAACTCAGCAATCTTAGAAGATTGCTGTTGTGGAATAAAGTCAGGGGAGCATCCCATGAATGATGTCTTTCTCAACTTTGAAAGCTACGAGATGCATTTGGGCATTAACAAGGAAGCAGTTAAATTTTGACCCAGATTCATATGAGAAACTGAGGTTATGGAGTAATTGTAATTTGAAGATGGGGGGAAATGTTTTATTGGAAGTCCAGGGCTGAATAAGGGATTAACATTGTGAATCAGTTTACTTGCAATGGGTATTTTAAGGGTTTTGAGAGGTTATATTTTGAATATAACTTAGCTGAATAATTTACTTGGCAAATATATAATTAACATATGTATTATTAAAACAATATGGTCCAGATACTTAAGCAGCTTCATGGATGCTAGGATGTTTAAGAGATTTTTAGAAAAATATTGCAATGAATAAACAAATGTTGGACTGACATTTATTATATTTTATAACACCACTGAGCATAGTTTCTTTCCCAGGTGATATTGTTTTTAACCACTTCCTTTGAGTGTTTTCCTTTGGTTTTTCTTTTCCTTGCACTCACACCTTCCTGTTCTCATACCTGCATCTTGTGGCACTGTGTCAGCCCAACAAGATACACCAGACTATGGAACCAATGGCATATAGACCAGGACTACTATTATTGTAACAGGTCTAGTAGCAGAATCAAGTTATTTTCTTGGCCTGGGCTCAAGCCCCACTGACCTGACTGTTGCCTTCCTAACAGCTCTTCCTCTTGTCCTTCAAGGCCGTTCCCTATGCCTCCTACACACTGTGCCCTTGATGGGTATCCAGGATATTGCTTTATCAGTTCTCTCAGACAAATGTCGGCTTAGTTGCCTCCTTTCCCTGAGATGATTGTTTCCTATATGTCATGTCTAAACTGGTGAGCATAGCTAGAAGAGCTAAATATCTCCTTTGACCTTACATAGATATTTTTATCAGATTCTTTAACATTCTTTCCAGTAGAGAGCAATGCTGTAAAAATAGAGATCATATGGTCCTATGAAAGGTATTGTCTGGTGTTTGTGGAACTGGATAACTGGCTAATCAAACTTGTATTATCTACTCTGACTGGATGCTTCTCTCCACCATCTCTCTAGCAAAGGTTTTTAAGTTCCTCCATCATATACATCAGGGTTCCTCAACTTTGGCAACTTTAAGACGGGTGGACTTCAACTCCCAGAATTCCCCAGCCAGCTGGGAGTTGAAGTCTACCCGTCTTAAAGTTGCCAAGGTTGAGGAATGCTGATATACATTGAACAACAATAACAGCTAAATCAGTTCATGTCTTTATTTTACCATCGTGCAGTTATCTGATTAGGCTTTAAAGCAGGACACAGAATCTTTTCCATGTCACAATCCCCTTTCAAACTTCTGAGCTGGTTATTGTTATAATATATCCTATTCCTTCACTCTCTGTAAAAGACACCTCATTAGACTGAGACACCGGCCTGCTATGTAAGAATTCATTTGATCAAGGGTCCCGTAGCATCCTAATAGGGGCCAGAATAAGACTTCCTTTGGCCCTAGGGAGTAAATCTGGTTTACTAAAATTAATCTTGCCACACACTCCCTGAAAGAGAGCTGTTTGTTCACCCCCATGTCATCTCTTATATGGCTACCATACATAGATGCCAGTGGTTAGCCCTTCAGAGAACATTTCAGCATAACTTTAAGAGTATAGATATGAACAACTGTGAAATTGTCTGAATAGATTGACAATGGTTGAGGCAGCAATGTTTTCCATCAGTCTCTGCGAATGGTAACACTGAAAGACCCTGGTAGAGTTTGATTCCTGGGACATAAATCTACTTTGCGGTTGCTGTGGTGGGAAGGCAGGGCAGTAATAGAAAACAGTAGGCAATTTGATGGCTGTTAAATAAAAATAGCTTCCCCAATTCTTTTATGGGAAGAATCCAATGGGAAATTCCTATGGGCTGTCTCCTATTGCATATTGTTTCCTCTGCTGAACACAATTACTCTTTCAGCTGAGTCTGCATTTAGATAAATTTACTCTTCCACATCTGTTTCCACTTCTGTATTTTGCTGCTGTTACTAGTTAATGAACATCAAGGATCTTGCTTTGTCTGCAGGTGGTTCCATTAGACAAAAAGTTGCTGAGAAGCTTCCTTGCCCCAGTGAGCTTCTATTTCTTGATTCCTTTCTTGTTTTCATCAAATGTAACTTACTGCCATGATTTATGCAGGGATCCTTAGTATATTTCTCTGATGTATGTAATCTGAAAAATGGAACTAACAAGGAATGCATTTTATGTTATGTGAGGTCACATAATCCTATGAAAGGACTTGAAGGGGATATGGCAGGAATATCACTTTCTGTGATGTACTTGTTAACCTTTACCCACAGTTTCAGGTCACTCAAATTTCTGGAAAAATTGTGAATGATCTATGAAAGGCTTTGAAGGAAAATTTTCATGATGTTACTAACATAACTCAACTTTGGTTGGCCAGCAGAATCCTATGTGTCAAAGACCAATCATTTAAGAAGTTGGAAAGGGACTGACTTTTTGTACACTGCAGTATGGTCCTATTCATGTCAAATCAGAAATAAGTGGGAGATACAGATTTGCAGCCATAGGATCTGGAGCTGCAATGTTTAACTGACGTTTTAATTCTCTCTGCGGGGAGAAAGCAATCTGATAGCTGTTAGCCACCAAGACAATCAAACCTATATCCAGAGTAATCTTCTTCCAAATACAAGATGCTGAAAGCAAACATTTGGAGGAACACCTCACTTCTTTGCTCTATTTCAGGAAGAACACAATGTTCTACTGGTTCACTTATCAGCTTCAGTACAAATCCATTTGGTCAGTATTATGGATGGGCAAATATATCAATGTTGGTTTCTCATTTTTCTCCACATGTTTCTTGAGGTTAGGTTTAAAGCCATAATCCTGCCCAATGTTTTGAATTGTGAAGCCCAGGTGCAATAGCATGAAATTCAGAGATCTTTTAAAATATCCATGCCGAAGAAGGTGCTTATATGAGAGATTATCTATATAGGCAATTGAAGTATGCAAGATTCTGGTTTATTTTCTAACATCTTTTCTGTGTAAAGGGAAGGAAGTGTTTTTTGTAACAGCAGGGCAGTCTGCACCTATTGATTTTTTTGGAAATAGCTACTTGACTTCCTTTCAATCTGAGCACCAGTTCTCTTTGGGAAGACCTTGAATAGGTCCTCTCTAGATTACCTAACAGGGTGGATAGAGTTATTCTAGAAAAGGCAGCCCCTCATGTAACCTGGTGTTGTGCAATGTAGAGCTTTGGATAGCCAGCACTTTGGATGGGGCCCAGAAACCCACATGCAACCCTTGTTATGATTGGATGCTATATACTGGACTTTCATAAGCCTGCCTCCCAAAAAATCATAAAGCTTTCTGAGGGAGACAATTAATACATTCATCTATGCATCACCAGATGTCTTGTACTGAATGAAGAAATCTCATATGGTATTCATAGTAAAAAAAAAAAATGCTAGTGTTCACCTCAAAATCCTATTCATGCTTCTGGCAATTTAAGTTAAGCTGAGTCCTTGCTGGCATTCTTGTGTCATAATCTGACCCCTCTTCCTCCTAAATATCACTAATCAGGCCTCTGAGGGACCAGTTCTTAGGATTGTCTCCAGTCTAGGTTGCTACAAGAGAAGTCTGCCTACGTGATATAAGGGGTAGGTGGGTAAGAAAGGAGGCCCTCTGTATGGCTGCCTCAAAACTGAGGAATGTGGCTGCCCCCAGCAATTTGCTGGACCCTTTGGCTTCCTGGTATTCAGGAGTGCACTCATGACTGTTTTAAAGATGTCCTTGCTGCCATGATACCTAACTGATGCAGATTGGGTGGTTATTGTTTTATCTTTATATTGAAGTTAACATGCAATTGATTGGGGCAGTATCATCATCATCATCATCATCATCGAACTACATGGTTGTCCTGGTCACTGAATCCCTGCGTAAATATAGTTTTGACTGCATTCAGGGTCTGTCTCCGTGCTTTCAACTTTAAATCTTGCCTGGCAACGCACTGTTTCTCCTGATGGTTAGGTTTGGGAAATGGGATCATGCCAGCTGACATCTCCTCAACCTAAAGTTTCCTGGGAATCAAGCTGGTGATTTGACAAATCTTTCCAGGTCCTTTGCTTGACAACAGTATGGGAATGGTTTGCCATTGCCTTTTTCAGTGACTTTTTTTCCAGATTGTGCTCTAGCCTATGCCTTTCATATTTCCTAGCAGACTTCCATTACTGACCCATCCCAACCCTTCATAGTTTCTGTCATCATTTAGCTATCTTTGAAGGTGATCATTGAAAAGGATTAAAACTCATCTTGTTTAAAGGCCAAGCCTTTTCCTTTCCACCAAAGAAAGACGCCAATCACCAGGCTTGCCATTGTACAACTTAGTTTTTATTTTTGCAGATGCAGTCACTGTCTTGGCCTGGGAAATGTCAGCTGTGGGTGTGAAAAGGAAGCTTTCCAGACAGGATATGCAGATCAGTTGGATCTGATGGT